ATATATATATATTAAAGATTCGCTGATTTTTTAGGACGTCACTTGTATATATTCGATTTAAAAGGAAATTCCCTCAACCAAACTAAAAAAATTATTTTATCTTCAATCGAGTTTAGTTAGTTTCATTTTTCTTTTCAAGAAAAAACTAAATTAAACTCAATTTTATATAATCGCTCTTTTATATACAGTGTAGACTTATTAGCAGAATTTTTTTTTTTTTTTTGCTTATGTTTAGTAAAATTCAGTTGATCATATAATATATATATATATATATATATTTTGCTTTAGGATTTTTAATTAGTTGAAATTTACTTAAATCATAAAAATATAAAATAATTGAAGGAAAAATTCATCAGGTACATGTATATAATAGTCCATGATAGTGTTGGGTCGGATCTCCAATTTGACACCGATACAAAAGTCGTCACACTCTCATGATAATCCAATCACGAACATGTTTTTAATGCTAAAAGTCACGATCCTCCATCATGAACACATTCATCACCACTACTTGATTAATGCTCACAGTGTTTATGGTTATAACACAATAATGCTCGAACCACGAAAATTCATTACTCAATAGCTCAATGGAAAAATAATAGAGATAGTAATTTGACAGAAATTCAACGTATTTTTGTATATTGCTCATTGATGTCTTGTTATCCAACTATTTGTAACCTCACCTACTATAAAGTGAGTAAGCACATAAACATGAAAAGTATCTCTCATATTATTTCTTAAAAAGTAAATAATCCAATTACTCAATCGGCCAATATATTGAAAATATTTCATAATATATTCAAAGAGAAATCTTAAACTATTTATAATATAAATACTAATGTCAATTGTATATATTTTTAATATATTTTTTTTATTTGTGCTACAATACATAGTGCATTTTCAGATGCTAAGTATACTTTTTTGCTATAATTATTAAGCGTTAGAGTTATAAAAGTAAGCTTTTAATTCTAAAATAATTTGACGAATGTAAATATTTATTAAATAAAAAAGTAAACATATCAACCAATAGCAATTAAATGTCAATTTTATTACATGACATATTTTGTGTTAAATTTGCTACAAAGTATAGCAAATAAAAATTTTAGCACAATATATGACATTACATTGGAGAGTTTTATACACTCAAATATCAAATTTACCATTGACACATTAATTATAATATTGCATTAGAGACGCTGTTACTTTTTCTTTTATTTTTATAATATTTGCAATTCACATTATATTAAAGGATTTTTTTCAGTACGCTATCATACTAGTAGGTCATGTTTTATGTCTGTTAAATCTGTATAAAATCACGTAAAAATTAAAAAGTATGCAGATGTAACAATTAAAAAAAACTTGATATACCGATACACAAAGTGTACTAAAGAATCTCTCTTATTTTAATATCTTTATAACTTTTAAAACTTAATCATTACTTCAAAAAAGTAAATTCAGCATTTTACATCTTGTGTCAAAACACAATTAAAAATCAGATATTAAATATATTATTATCATACCTTTTAGTATCGAATATGTAGTTAATATTAGCAGATAGATGGGAGATGGTCATATTTTCTAACATGCATGTATTATTATGTTGTCCACTACCATCTTTGTACGTTATTATATTAATATGTGAGTAGTCCGTTCACTTCATTGATTCGAGTTTAGAATTTGAGTTTTTTTACAGTAAAAAGCTCTCACAAACAATCACATCTAATTTTTTTACTACAGTAAAAAGTTCTCACATAAAGTCACATCTCAACTCGAATTCTAAACTTGAATCAGCGAAGTGAATGAGGTCTTATTTACCCCGATATGAATATATTCCCTCTCTCTCATAGAGAATGGACCCCACCAGTAGGTTCTACATGGGCCACACAAGCGAAAACTATTCTCTATGAATGAAAGAGTGGATATATCCCACCCCGTTTCTTTATAACGTGCATCATAAGCATATATCATACTTCTAGGCAAGCATAGGTTAAAAGTAACAGCCAATAGAATTGTTCCCTTCCAAGAGAAGGGTTATATTATAGCCAAAAAAAAAAAAAAGGAAAAAAAAAAAAACTACCCTGTTGCTCTTTTGATTCCCAAACGGCCAAAGCCCCACTAGCGTTAGAGATCTCTTTCAAAAAAGAAGGGGAAAGAAAAAAAGCATAGAGACAATCAGTCGACTATAAGAAAGTAAATTCCCAAAAACAAAAAAAAAGAAAAGAAAAGAACATACGAAGACACGCCCAGGCCCAGACTCCCCCAAATGAAAGAAAAAAGCATGTTGTCCTTGTAGATGTACCAACTTTTTTTTTTTTTTTTTTTTTATGCAATTGTGAACATACTCATTTATAATACATGTAGTTAAGACGAATAGAAAATGAGCGACCAATATCATCCTCTGAGAAGGGCAGCACAAATAACCAAATAGATTCAACCTTAAAAATGTAAATAGAAAAGTTCACATTGCTTAATACTCGATAGATATATGATCACACAATAATACTAAATTAACATAATACAAATTACAGCAAAAGGACTAGTACAATAAAAAATAAAAAATAAAAAGCAAAAACCACACTAAAACACAGAAACTAAACCATCATAACAAATAACCATAAACCAAACACTTAGTAAATTAATTAGGTTTACTAAGAGCCAATCCTATCCATGATAGTAGCCAAAATCTCCTTGCACTCTTTAAGCTTCTTGACACTCCCAGTCAGCTTAACCCGCTTAGAAACCGAAGAAAAGAAAAAAAAAAACATAGTTTATATTTTTTATTTTTTTATTTTTTATTTTATATGCAATTGTGAACATACTCACATATAATACGTGTAGTTAAGACGAATAGAAAATGAGCGACCAATATCATCCTCTGAGAAGGGCAGCACAAATAACCAAATAGATTCAACCTTAAAAATGTAAATAGAAAAGTTCACATTGCTTAATACTCGATAGATATATGATCACACAATAATACTAAATTAACATAATACAAATTACAGCAAAAGGACTAGTACAATAAAAAATAAAAAATAAAAAGCAAAAACCACACTAAAACACAGAAACTAAACCATCATAACAAATAACCATAAACCAAACACTTAGTAAATTAATTATCTTTACTTAGAGCCAATCCTATCCATGATAGTAGCCAAAATCTCCTTGCACTCTTTAAGCTTCTTGACACTCCCAGTCAGCTTAACCCGCTTTGTAGAAACCGAAGGCGACTCCTCCATCAGCCTCTCAATCCCATTCCCATGCGGAGCCATCAACTCACTCACAATTTCAAATTCCAAATCCTTATTCACCAGGTTATTAACACTCAGCTGCAGATGAAGCGCCATGCAATCCACAAGCCGTCTCAACACAATTCTCCAATACGAGATCATTCTCATTCTAAGATCAAAGGCCTGATCCAGGAGATGCCTGAACGGCCTCAGATTCCCCGTCGCAATCCAACCAAAGCCGTCGAGATTGGTTTGATACCGCGAATTATCGTCGATATCTTTCATGAATGCCTCCTTTTCCGCCATCAGCCTGTTCCATTCGGATAAGAATTCCGGATTACAAGTATAATCCGTCAGCTTCTCCATTTCCACAACCTCCATGACCCACTTCATTGACTGCTCTTTCATTTTCTCGATAAGATTAAGCCCCGCTCTTCTTGTCGAAAGCTGAAGCTGGTAATAGTCTTCGACATGGCTCATTAAGACAGAGATCACCACTTCCTCAATGTAATTCCAAACTCTTCCGACGAACTCGGTTGGAATATTCGAAATTCCATTCACTTTCTCTTGTAGTATCGCGAGAAAGGCTGTTCGGGGAAGGAAATTAGGGAGTGAAATCTCCTTGGCTTCCTCCAAATGCTTGATCTCCTCCATTAGAAAGTTTCCAACCCGGTCGCTTTGCGGAGAATTTTTTAGTTCATCATTGAAATTGTTAAGCATCTCCACCAACCTTGCAGTGCAATGCATTTTTTTGTCATCTGGGTACTCGTCAAACTCTCCTCTTATGAGAATTTTCTGCAGCGATTCCTTAACTTGCCCGAGGATCCTCATGAACGCCGTCATCGCCTCCGCGACAGAGGACATAGTCTTCGGTAGCTTCTTGAACTCGGTGAGATTGTGGTTTAGCTTGTCGTTGATCTTCTTAACAATGTCCGGCAAGTTTCTCGCTATGCTCTTCGCCTGAATCTGCATAAGATTCTGCGCCAAAACCGGCACCCCAACAATCGATTTATCGATCTTCGAAAGCAGAGGATGCGACGCGAAAAGTGCGGATTCTTCGGTCCTCGCTTCCTCATAGGACTCATCACCAATTCTGTTTCTCACACAGACATAACCAAGACCAATATTCACATCATCAGAAGTCACCTTCTCGAGAAGTCCTTCTGGAGATTTATCGCATTTGGTGACCACAGCAAGCGTTCTCTCTCCGTTTTTGTCGACACTCTGCGACATCCGAATCGACTCGCAAGTCGGAAAATCGACAGTCGCCGACAAAACATTAAGTATAATACTTGCTTCCGGCTTAATATACTCCATTATAATGTCCCTTATCTGGTCGTAGATGTTCTCCGGTTGACCAAGAACAGGGACTCTGGTGATTCCCGGAAGATCCACCATCGTCAAATCAGGAACGCCCTGTTTCTTCACCGTCAGAGTCAGGCGGGTTTTGGATATTCCCTTCCCGTTGCCGGCGATCTCCCCAGTAGCCATATTGATGGCTTCCGAAATGTTATCTTCGGTGGTGGGGACCACTTTGCCGCTGTACTCCAAGAAAATTTCGGGTTCTGGAGAGGAGTGGTTTTGGAGCCGCATGACGAGGGGGACTCTGGTGCAGATTCCCTGGCCGCGAGGGAGGTTGATGCGGGCGAGAGACTCGAGGACGGAGGACTTGCCGGAGGACTGGTCGCCGACGACGACGATGGTGGGGAGCTCGATGCCTTCGTCCATGACGGCGAGGTTGCGGAGCTTGTCGACGGCGTCGAGGACGGGGCGGATGCGGTCGTTGTAGGAGGAGACAATCGGTGCGGCCACGACGGCCAAGTGGTGGGTTTCGTCACCAGCAATTTCAAGATCACTGTCGAGTTTGAGAGTTGAGAGTGAGAGGATTTGGGAGCAAATTGGGTCTTTGAACTCCATTGTGGTTTTTTTTTTTTTTTCTTTTTGTGGTGGATTGAGAGAGCACAAGGTTTCGCAGAGGAGCTGATCAAGTTAGGAAAATGGCCAAAGTGGTAATGTGGGTGGTAGTAGTGGAGACTCTGGAGAGTAGAGTATAGGGGTGCGCTTTATATAGAGGTTTAATGGAGGGAGTGAAGGAGGAAAAAATATAAAAAATAATAATAATAAACAATGAAGAAATGCGTAGACCAGAGAGACTTCGGACATTACCTGGAAGTCGGAAAAAGAGAAGAAAAGCTTCGTGCTAGGTCATGTCCGCACTGTAAAAAGCAATTATTAAATTAATCTCAAAATGGTACACGTGACCTCATAAAATTCTCTGATTTAAATTTTTAATTTTAATTTATTACAATAAAAAATACTTATAAAAAATGATATTTAATTTTTTATTATGATAAAAAATTATATTTTAATTTTTTTTATTATAATAAAAAATTTTTATAAAAAATTACATTTTAATTTAAATTTAAAACTTAAATAGAAAAAATGAAGGGCACCATTCTTGAGAAGGCAATGATTTCCGAAAAATATTGAATTTGCATCCTACTTCTCGGGGAAGTTAATTAAATATGTGGCCCACTTGCTGGAGAGATATTCGATTGCGGAGGTTTTGATTGCTGCCGTACAAGCTTTCGGCGGGAACTTGAGACTGCAGGGTAACAGCCAATAGCGTTGTTTAACTTCCACGCGAAGGATTTTTTTTCACTTTGTTTATTTATCGATTCAAATTTTTAATTTTAAATTTTTAAAATAAAAAATTTTTAAAAATATTATATTTAATTTTTTTATTATAATAAAAAATTTTATATTTAAACTCAAATTAAAAATTTAATTTGTAAAATAAATGAGACTATTGTGTATCATTTTTCTTTTTTTCTTTTCATGAAAATTTACAGAAAAAACAAAGCGGAAAAGTCTCCTATTAGAGGAACCCACTCTCCCTCCTAAACCAAGGACGTCATAAAGCAAAAGCGACGAAAAGAAACAAAAAAATAATAGAGAAAAGGACGTCAATATTTGAAGATCATTCCATGACATGTGACGTAGGAGTCAGCATAATTTCCATCCAAATTCTCGTGTTGATTTCGCGTTGATTCATCAGTCAACTTGTTTAGTGTGGATGTCTTGTTCCTTCCCACAGCCGATATCAATAATTTGAATGTGAATTTTACTTACCAATTTATTGATAATCTTTAGTTTTATATTCAAGCCATAAATAGTTTTAATAATTTTTTCATACTTTTTTCCGGTATGGCCCCTTATTAATAATACCGGTTCCTAACGGTTAAATCTAATAGGAAGGTAAGACTCAAAAGAATATATGTACCCCTTGAATTTTTAATTTTTAGTATAGGGTTTTTCAAAATTTTTTCATATATCTGCCTATTAACAAAAAGAGATATTTATATTTTTATACATTTGAATTAGATTTCATATATAAATTTATGCCTTATCTTGGTGAATAATTGATTTTGACTTTTCAAATGACTAAACTATCCTCAAGAAAAAAAAAACTAAAACTTTCCAATATTACAAAAAATAAAAATTTAAAACACAAAAAACCTCATTTCAATGGTATTTTGCATATTTTCTAGGTCAAAACCATAAGTCTATAATTTTTTATTTTTTTTTCTTTTCCTATCATTTTATTCAAGGGTATTTTATGTATTTTTAAAGTTAAAATCGAGGGTTGTTGTGGTAAGGTATAAATTTAAATATTAAATCTAATTTAATGGTATAAATTTGATGAGATAAAAAACTGAAAGTATAACTTTTAAATAAACCTAACACATAGGGTATAAAACAAAATAAATATCCCTAACAAAAATTTCAAATACATTTTCACAAAATCCAATATTAATTGATTTTTTTTTCTTTTTGGTTTTTCTTTTCTTGTTGTTCTTTTGATATTTTCTATAAAATCTTATGAATTTACATGGACCAAATTGATTTTTTTTTCCTAATTTCTACTTATGATAACTTTTTTCTTTCAAAATGGTCCCTTCTAAGATATCTTTTCATATAATCTTTATTAAATCAAAAGTGAGCCTCATAGAATAAGGTTTTAAATGACCCATTAAAATGATATTTTTTAATTGTGTCCCTAATTTATGTTTTTTTTTTTTTCAAATAACCCTTTCTCGTAAACATATTTTCTCTAATTTGATCATGCTGAAGTTATATATATTTTTAAATATGTCTCTGCATACTTAGACAGTTTTTTGTAGCGCTCTCAACTACTATTTTTTCATATGTATTATGTGTCCTTTAAATAAATTTTTTTTAATCTAATTTACTTGCTAAAATCTTTATTGCTCAAATACATTCTCCTTATCTATGCATACACCATTCATCCAATCACATATTTGAAACATGCATTTTAATCCATTTTACTCAAATATAATTTTATTACTAAACTAAATTCTTAAAAGAGTAATAAATTCTAGTAAAAGAAAATAAACTCTTCAAAATTTTAAATTTACCTATCAAGAAGTTTAATAAACTAATCAATATGCATCTGCATAATATGTTTTCAGCTAATTAACAGCATGTCAAAAAACAATAATTAAAAAATAATAATAAAAAACAAACTAATTAATAGTATTAGGAGTTAAATTTGTTGGTGCTTTTAACATTCAACATTTTTAGTTTATAATCCCCTAAATAAAATCATGGCTTTATCACTGGTTAGATCTAATCAAAATTATATTAAATTTAAAAAGTATGTGGAACTGATAATTTTTAATACAAATCTGATAGTTGATCCTATTAAAAAAAAAACTCCTTTTTTTAACGGTTTTCATAATTTTTGTTGAATATTCACATAAATATTTATTAATTTTTTTTAAAAAAAAGAACTTAGAAACCTATAACAGGTGTCAAAATAAGAAGAAAGAATAACCAAAAGGAAACTAAAAAAGATAAGATAAAAACAGTAATGAACCAAATCAATAGAAAACGTTAAATATTTCTTCAAATTAATTTCCTCTATGAACCCTAACTTGCTAAGAAGAATTTTTCTTCTCAAGCTCTTTGTTCAATATTTTTTTCCCAAAATATCTGAATCTGCTAATTTCTCCCAAGAATTCAAAGCAACAATTTTCATCTCTTTCTAAATGCGTATATAATTGTTTATTGTTAATGTAGTATCCATTTTGATGCTTCTTTCTCAAGAAGAGTCTTCACCTTTTATATCCGCTCAAGATTATCTTGGCTTTTTGGATGCTTCAAAATTTTTCTAAGACGATATCTTACTAGACTATCGCCCAATCATCCAAATACTTAAAAAGATCCATCTCTAGATTTAGTTGTCCTAGATCTTATAGTTTTCATTTTATTTAATTTACATTTGTTAACGATTATTCTTTTAAAAAAGTATTTGTCTACTTTTACCTTTATCTTTAGATAAATAATTATAATGAATCGAGTCAATCTCGTGTTATTCAGTCATCAATTTAAATCATCGATTTAGGTCATCAATTTAATTATGTTTCCAGTCAAATAAAAATGCTATATGAAACATAGTACATTATTTTTTATTTACCCGTTAACACCAATAAAAGTGAAAGGGAAGATTCCAAAACTTTGAGAAACAGCAGAGTCGTACCGGACAAAGATTCACTCAACTCTCTCTTTGCCGCTAATTACGATTGAAAATAAACAATTCACTCAAATATGGTTCAAATTGTGTATTGCAGAAATATTTAGATAATTAAATTTCTAAAAGTAAATCTGATTCAGCAGTGACGCAACCGGCACACCTAACAGACAAGCTTAGATACTTTTTTAAAGCTCATGTCACGTAGATCATCTCCTAAGTTCAAGTATGCTCTTGTATCATTTTCTCCCTCATTAGAAAATGCCCCTTCAAGGCGCGCTCATGGAGACTTGAATTTGGGATCTCCTTCTCTAATACCAATTGATGTAGGAGTGACACAACTATTCCTTCTGAAAGTTACAACTAATGGGAGAAGCGCAATCAAATACCTTAAAACATTATCTAGAATAAGATTTGGGAATCCACACAAAAAAACTACTCGTTTAGGCCCTTATTTTGAAAAGTCTCTTACGCATCTGTGGACGCACTCAACAGACAGGTCCTTGAGGCCCTGGCTACATAGGCTGCATCTTAAATTTAAATATGCCCCTGCATCATAAATTTAAGTATGTCCCTGCATCAAAATCTGATTGACCGGGTCAATAGTAACATAAGCAGATAATCTAAAGACGTTGGTGAAAATAATCCAAACTAAATCAATATAACTTGTCGAATTTTCATTTGGACAGTCACATTAAGATACGATAATTATATAGAAATTAAAAAGAGAAGAATGAGAAAAGAAGGGGGACCAAAAAGAGAGAAGGAAAGCACCAGGCATTTCATTACAGTTGCATGTCTTATCCTTCTTGACGAAGCTAAGGAGGTTTCCCATTTCACTGTATGGCAAATTTATAAGAGTGGAGTTGAAATAATATAACAATTATTTGTTGAAAACATTTTAGAAATTACAAAAATCACCTGATAATTATTTTTAATGATATTCACGTTTATACTACAAAAATACGTAGCAATTATTTTAATGATATTGGTTTTTATAATTTTTTTTTTTAAATTAATTTTTTCCCTAGTTCAACATGCATGGTGAAATTTTACTGTATGTCTAACTTTTTCTTCTTTTTAGACTTTTGAACACATTTTAGTACAGAGTATCCATGAATGATGCATTGAAATTTAAAATAATAAATTACATACTTTAATTAACGAGTTATCGAGTTATCCCATGGGTATCCCAAATCCATGATGGGTACTCTAAGAGGAAAAAAAAAACAGTTTCTACGTAAACCAAAGCTTGAAGGTTTCATTTTAGTATTTTAGTATTTTCTGTTATAGGGAAATATTTCATTAATACACTGTATTTTTAATAATATTAAAACGATATCTTTATTTTTAATAAAACTTTCTTTCAATATTTAGAGACTAATTTTTGTGACATATAATATTCAATTTGTACATTTCATTAATTACATAGAAATTAATAACTTTAAAAATATTTTCTAAAAACATTTTCACTTATTTTAATTTTTAAAATTTTAAATGTTTTAAAGTATTTTCATAATTTTTAAAAAAGATTATTAGTTTGTTGTTAATTAGTGA